TTAACGTCACACAGCTCATGGGTGGTGGAGCAGCCTGGACGGCGAAGACGTTCCTCTTTTCCCCACACCACTCTGATTTCTCTTCAGTGGCACTTACTCCCCAGAAGACCAGGCTCTGCTCTTTCCAACAATGTGGACCAAGCTTAGCGACCACAAGGATGGTATGAGGACAGAGCCAAACTCTGGTCACTCTGTCTGGAACCTGATACGGCTTGTGCAAAAGGATCCAAGGAAAAGAGGACAGGAACTCTCTGGTGCACCACACATGCCGTGGGTAAGGACACGTGTTACATGCTGTGCGTGTTATTCCTGGGTGACCCTCTCAGCCATCTGGGAGGGAGGTAAAACTGTCCCATCTAGAAAATGGACCCTACTTTTTAGATGAGATACCGAGGGGCTGGAGAGTACCGAAGTCCCGTCCCCAAGGTCACGTGGGCAGTGGGATAAGTGGCAGAAGCACAGGGCACAGGAAATGTAGCCACAAAATGGATGTGAAAATACTTAGAAACATGAAGGCAATTATTTAAAAAAATGATTTGATCTATGTACAAAGAGACCAGGAAAATATGCTGCATATTATACTTGTGATTACAAGGAGTTGAACACCCTGTGTCCATCCTGAGAAATTCAAAGGTGACTCTGGGGCACAGCTGGGGGTTCTCCTCCCAGGCCCCGAGGGCCACAGTGGGGAAGCTTGGCGCCCCTTGGAAGACCCCAGACACCCCCGCGCCCAGGCTCTGTGGAGATACAGGATGGCCTCTGCCCCTCACCACTTCTCCCCCAGCCTCACTAGAGCTAGGCACGTGCAGATGATTTTTTTTCCCCATTACAGAAAAAAAATAATGTAATCTACAAAGAACTCAACTTGGTCCAAAACCTGCTTATTTAAAAAAATTACTTTTGGGGAAAAAAGAGAATAAGTGATATGATTCCCCATGGAATGATTTCCATTATGCCTAATTTTGATAGATAGAAAACAGAATTAAATTTCTGTGTCTAATTTGACTTTCAGTGTCTTTTGCCCTGAATTAATAAGGAAGATGGAAGAGTGTTTCCTCCCAAGTTTTGAGCTGCATTTCCCTTCAGTCCCTCATTTCTTCATCCATTGATGAGATTTTCAATCCTCTTTGTCCTTGAACTGCTCTTCTGCCCCACCTTCCTTCCCTGGGCCCTTGTGGGGGGACTACAGTCATCCAGCAGCTTTGATAGATGAGTTCTCCATGTAAAGATGGTGCTGTGTGGCTGGTGAGCCCCCTCGTCTATGGGCTGGCCCCCCCACCGCCTGGGGAGGTGCATTCTCTCCAGGACGGTGATGTGCTCCGCCATCCTGCACCCTGCTTGAGGGAACAAGGGGACACACTGTTCCAGAGAGGTCTCCATCCTTTAAAGGACTGTGCATGCCAGGCAGAGTCCACCAGGAGCTGCTGTTCTGAGGCTGTGTGCAGACAGCAGGTGGGAGAAGACGTGGAGGAGGAAGGCGTCACTCAGAGTCAGAGGACCTGAGTTTGTCTTGATGGCGTCATGAAGCAAGTGTGATCTTAAGCAAGTCCATTAATAATTCTTTCTTGGCTCTAGAGTGACTAGGGGTTGGGAGGGGGTAAAATAGCAAAACATAAGTGAAAGTGCTTTGCAATCAGCAAGGGACCTTGAGAGTTAATGCCATAATTCTAATAGAAGGAGCCCTGAGCCAGGAGGCAACAGAATCTAGCATAGTGCCCAGGGCATAGCAGATGCTTAACAAACATTGAAGAACTTCCTTTCCAAAGCCCAGAAAGAGCTGAAGCAGAGGAAACAGGGTTCAGACTTATAGCAGGAGGGACTGTGGCTAGACACAGAAAGAACTTTCTGACAGGTTGGTGAGGCACTGTGCCTAGCACTGAGGAGTGTGCAGAAGGACCTCTGCTGGAGACATTTACAGCCTATCCCTCGTCTCAGCATTCTCACTGCGTGGGGTGCACCAGTTGGGTCCTGCCTGAGTGGGCTTGTGGTAGAAATTTCCAGGGGAATCCTTGATTCTGTTACACCATTTGACAGTGCAAGGATCCCACCAGAGGAGGGCCATCTCGTGGAACTCAAGGTTTCCCATCCATATTCCATCCAATGGTAGCATCCTATGGGCTTTCAGCTCAGCATCCTTTTGGGCTTATGGTCAAAACTATTTGGAAGATGACGGGGTAAAAGAGCTGTTTTGTGTAGGACAATTCAGAGTGTCCATGCTAAGTGTGCTGCGAGTCTCTACGAGGGGGAAGGAGCACAAAGTGTTACCCAGCATTTCTGGGTTTGTAGGGGAGGGCCACAAAATCCTTTGTTCACAAAACGCTGAGTATCTAAAGTAGTGTTGTCCAATAGAACTTTTGATGGTAATCTGCATGGTCCACATGCAGCCATTGAGTGCTTGAAATGTGGCTGCTGAGACTGAGGAACTGAGTTTTCAATTCTATTTAAGTTTAAAATGGGGAATTCCAATATCTCTAAACCTTGGATTCTTGTAATAAAAGCTGTATAAAGAAATACATTTTGGCTTCCAGTCTAAGACAGTGGTAGACGAAACCCTGAACTCACCTGCTCCCAGGAACATGTGGAATTTACACCTACAGAGAGGGCAATGACCCTGAAGAACTGAGGGATGCAACAAGCAAGAGAGGGAGGGAGACAGAGAGACCACACAGAAACAGGGCTCTCTAGCTCCGGCTCCAGCGTCCAGCCTCATGACTCCCCCCTGGACTCCCCTCAGCTGGCATTCAGCCTAGTCACTGCTCCTGCCCAGGTGTGGCTTGTCCCAGGACTTCCTGCAACCACACCTGCTTCAGCTACAGCCCCAGAGGCTCACCTCTGGGGATCCTTACCGCGCACACCCACTCCAGCTTCAGCTCCAGGCCCTGGTGTGGCTTGCCTTTGGGGCTAGCAGGGGCACCAGAGGCCCGAGCCCACTCCAGCTACAGCTCCAACCAGCCTGCCACGGTGGGCTCAGTGCAGCTTCCCCCCAGGACTTCCCGTGGACCATTCCCACTCTAGCCATCGCTCCAGGCCTTGGTAAGGCTGGTCTGCCAGGGGCTCCCTGTGGCCCATGCGAGCTCCAGCTCCAGCTGGCCTGCCAAGGACACCCAGCACATGCAGTCTCCAAAGGAAGACCTCCTACACAAGGTCACTCCTGCAAGACCAGGAGAGGTTGCTCTTTTGCCTAATTCATAGAAACAAACACACAGAGACAGCCAAAATGAAGAGACAGAGAAATTTGTCCCAAACAGAAGACCAAGACAAAAACTCAGAAAAATAACTAATAAAATAGAAACAAGCAATGTATCAGATAAAGAGTTCAAAACACTGGCTATAAGGGTGCTCAATGGTCTCAAAGAAGAGATTGGAAACATAAAAAAAAGATAGAAAACATAAAAAAGAACCAGTCAGAAATAAAGAATACAAATACAGCAATGGAAATGACAAATATATTACAGGGCCTCAACAGCAGATTAGATAAGCAGAAGATACAATCAGTGGTTAGGCAGACAAGGTAGCAAAAACACCCAATCAAAACCACAAATGGAAAAAGGAATTTTTTAAAAATGAGGATGGTGCCCAGGCTGGTGGGGCTCCATGGACCGAGGACAGGCCTGCAAACCCAGGGCACCCGTTGCTCTCCAGTTGTCATGGCTCCTTAGTCTTCCTTCATCTGGGTCAGTCTCAGTCTTGCCCTCTCAACTTTGACACGTTGAAGAGATGAGGCCAGTTATTTTGTGGAACGTCCCTCAGTCTGTGTTCGTCTGATATTTCATTAGACTCAGGTTAAGTGTAGGTGGCTCGAATGCCTCAGAAGCGATGCTGTGCTTTTTTTTTTTGATCCTTTCTCATTGAATCTGGCCCTGAAGAACTGTCACTACAGAGGAAAATGGGCGAAATCTGAACACAGTCTGTGGATTGGTGGAGGGGGTGGAGCACACATAGTGGGGACTAAGTTAACTTTGCTTCTCTTGCAGCTCTGAGGAAATCACCAGCCTGTGTTGCGTGAATGAACGAGTGCCAGGTGGAGGCCGTCAGCTGCAAAGGCACGAGGAAGGAGGTGGCTCTGGTCTGGCCCTTGGCGAAGAGGGGCGTTTGTGTACAGCTGCTGCCGGGATTCCAGGAGCGGGGAAGGATGCATGTGCGCAGAGCAGTTCTGAGCAGTCGCTGCAGAAGCCCTGGTGGCACTGGCATAGCTCTGCCCGTGCAGCCCACCCGGAACCCCGGGGCAAGCCCTGCACGGTGAGCTGCACAGGGCATGAGGCCTGGGGTTCGGGCACCGGGCTCACTGACTGCCAGTGGTCAGCACCTGCCGGACTGCATGTGGCTATGCCGCTGCCACTGGGTGTGCACAGATGCACAGATTTTTCTGGAAAGTGCTGGCTTAAATTAGCTACATCTCATAAGCATTAAATTGATGTTACAAATTGTCTGAGAGTCAGAGAAATGCATTTCCAGAACATGCATTCGCAAGAAAGTACTTTATCAGGAATTGACCTTGGACCTTGTTCCATCAGCAAAACCTGTTCTCCAGGGGAAGAAGCTCTTCAACCTCAAGTACAAATGCATCCAATTTATATCCCTCCCCCTTTTGTAACTCCTTAACAATGAGGCTGAAAATGTGGGAATTGAGTTTGCAGATGCAAAAAGGCTTGGATGTTGGCCAGTCTTCTTGTAACCTAGTTCTCTCTGTTCTGCCAGTGTCTAGGGAATTCTGTTAAAGGGACTGCTCTCTCTCTCTGTCTCTCTCTCTCTCTCTCCCTCTCCTCTCTCTCTCCCTCTCTCTCTCACACACACACACACACACACACAAACAGGCGCGCACGCGTGCTCCCATATGGACAGACAGCCAAGGACACATGGGAATGCCAGAGCCCTCTGGCCCCCAGTCCTCTGACCTGAGGGAGTCCTCCCCTCCCTGGCATGTTTCCAGCCAGGCGCCAATCAGGTTGAAATCAACCAGCCCCTACTGTCTGGGCTGGAACCAGCCCGGAGGAACTTACATTCTGCTTTGGCACAGATGAGGCAGGCAGTGGTGCAGTTGAAGAAGTTCAGGATCCCAGCTACAGCCACACTGATGTCGGTGTTGCTGGGGTGCAGGTTCAGGGTTGTAAATCTCTGGGACTGCAGCTTGATAAACTCCTCTGGGGCCACTTTGAAATGGGGGACCTGGGAGGAGGAGCAAAAATGAGCAGCAGGGAGGATCCAGAAAGAGAAAGAAGAAGGAAAGGAAGGAAGGAAGGAAGGAAAGAAGGAAGGAAGGAAGGAAGCAAAAAAGGAAGGAAGGAAGGAAGGAAGGAAGGGAGAGAAAGAAAGAAAGAAGTTAGACAAGGCTGGGGAGGGGGGATCCTCTTATGTAAGGCTGTTGCCGCCCACTGGCGAGGAGCAGCTCACAGGTGTCCAGGCACCCCCTCCACAGGAGAAGCCGGAACGGCACCTCGGACAGCACAAGACAGCAGGACCCAGGACAGGAGCCCTTCAGAAGGAGGCCTGTGTCAATGTGCTGCGGGCCTGGAACTGGGTCTGTGGCCCTGAGCAGGAGGTGAAAGAATAGGTCTTTATTCTCAGAGAAACTGTCTGCTGCTGAGTGGCTAGACAGATGGCTCTTGAAGACATGATCCTTCTAGTATTTTATCTGTAGTTAATATATCAGAGCAGAGAGGGAAGAAAAGAAAAACACTGCCCTGGGGACTAAAAGAAGAGGCCATCAGCCCAGCCAAGACAACAGGTGTGCCAGCCAGCCCCCACCGGACTCCTGGGTAAAAGCCCGCAATGGGCTCCTCCGCAAATGTGCACATGGAGAAGGAAGCCTTGCTGGCTGAGAGTCCATGTGGAGGGCCTCCAAACAAAGCCTGGTAAATGAAGACCTGCTCTGGCCCCATTAGGACAGTGTCAGCTTCCCTCTGCATCTATTGCTGACATTTGCAAGAGCCATTGCCCTTGTCTTCTGCCTCGTCTCCTGGGGAAGGATGTTAACAGGCTCTGGTGGTGGCCTTATTGACAGCTTATGCTATTGGGTAGGTAATAGGGTAGTTAAAATGTAATAAGACACCATCCACCTTGATTTTATTCTGCCTCACTCATGCCTGCTACGCAAGCTAGGAAAAGTGAAGGCTGTGTGGTGCTTCCATGGGGGATGGGGCTGAAACCCCACCCCTCACTCTCCCTTTGGACCAGTGCCCTGCGGGAGAGCTAAATTACAGCAAGCATGGATTCACACTGTTGTTAAAGCAAGTAAGAGAGGGGATAAACAGCAGGAAGAACTTCCTGATGGTGAGTTGATCGGCTCCTGGCATGGGTTATTCAGAAAGGATTGCAGAAGGGTTCTTTGCCTGGGCTGGCCCGGAGTCTGAGATGGCGCTGGGATGGTCTCTGCAGGGGTCTGCTACTCTGGTTTTCAAGCTTCGGAGGGAAGTCAGCCAGAGACCAGATCTCCTCTGAGTTTGGGTGAGGGGAGAACAAAGAATTAGCAGAAACTAGGGAGAAACTAAGATTAGCCCTTGAAACACAGAGAGAGGGCAACCAGTATTTCCAACAGAGACTGAAAAGTGTTATACTTGAGGAGAGTCTAGTAAGTTATGAGATAAGATTCTAAAGAATGAAGCTGTGCCATAAAGGGGTATGTCATAAAGGACCTTTCTTCCCAGCTTGTATTTTGCATCCCACTTGATCTACCTAAAATGAATGAACCTTGAAAGGACAAAAACGGTCACAAAGGGGCAAGATGGGGGCAAAGGTTGCACAGGGCCAGGGCCAGACCGGCGGCTCCCATATGTGAGCACCTCTGACCAAGGCCCGCCTTGCACTGGTGTCCCGCCCGCGAGGTCCCGCCGGCAGCTAACTCACCCTCCAGTTGAATGTGTCCGAACTACGCTTCAATCCACGCGTCCTACTGCTGAACCAGGAAAAAGACTCGCGTGTAAAGATTTGAGTGTGCCTCCAGTCCTGCTGTGTGATTTGGGGCAAACTACTTAGCTTATCTCGCCTCACTAACACGGAGACAACAGGTGCTTCTCGAGGCACCAGGGTGAGAGAACGAGGTCCTGTGTGTGAAGGGCAGAAGGGCCCGGTACCTACCACGTGGAAGGTGCTTAGGCCATGCCTTCTCCTCTTTCCCCTTTCTCCCCAATGCAGGAACTCCCGAAAAGGCTCTCGGGGTTGCCTGTGCAAGTGGGGAGGAGGGCGAGGGGCTCCCCTGGAGGGGACCTGGGTGGGAGCCTCCAGCAGAGCCTGTCCTTCCGAGGGCTGCTGGGGAAGCAGCCAGCACCTCTAAGGAGCCAGGCAGACATGGCCCAGGCCAATCCTACTGAGAACCAGAAGCAATCCGTTATGGATTTGCAATTGAAAATGAAGCCCAGGGAGCCCTGGCAGAGATGTGTGGGAGAAGGAGAGGGAGCGTGAGGGGGCGGGGGGGGGGGGGGGGGCGAGGCGGGGAGGGCAGCAGGGCGGGATGAGGCTAGTCACAGGACAGTCTCCAGAGATGCTCGCGGCGTTTAAGGAAATGAAGTCTTTGGTGAGAGCTCCGTTTCTTTTCCCCGGAGCTGAGAGGAATCAGTGTAAGGCAGTTGAGCCTCATAAAATATTAAAACAAATGCATACTCTGAACAGAGAGCAAAGGTTGCTCTGGAAGAAAACGACCAGACAAAGGAGGGTACCTGTCAGGCTGGTCCCCAGCACAGGGACAGAGCAGGTGGCGGGACAAGGAGCAGGGCCGTGAGTAAGAGCCTCCACCTCCCCTCTCAGATGGCAGCAGAGTCAGGGATGTGCTAGCTGAGATAAAACATCCACTGAACCCCAAGGGGAAGCCATTCTGGAGTGGGTGTCGGGGGATGTGTGTATGGGACAGTGCGGATAACTTGACGGGGAGGAGGGAGACCTGAGAAAAGAAGAAAAGGAAGGGAGAGAACAGTGAAGCGAAAACGGGGAGCTGAAGTCCTGGCGATCATGCCTGTGACGGCCTCAGCCACCGCTGGAACCCAGCCCGCCACAGGCTAGCGCTGGCGCTGGCCCTGGCGCTGGGAGCCCAAAAAGAAGATTCAGATGAAACTTCCTGGGCCCAAGGACTGGGAGAGGCTGGAAGGGGCTTGCAGTGAGACAGAAGCTCCTTGTTTGGCCTGGGCTGGCTCAGAAGTCTTCTCTCAGGACAGCTGAGGGGATGAGGGATGAGGAGGTCCAGGCGGACTTGGCCTCCGGCAAGAAGGCTGAGGGGCCCAGCCTACAGAGCAGCTGCTGGCACTGGCAGAGCGAGGCCCACCCGGGACTGCGGTCCGGGCTGCGTGGCACATTCACGGGTGGGTGACAATCCTGAGGGAAGGCTCACGGAATGGGGAAGACAAATATTTTGCTCAAAGCCGCAAAGACTGGCTCAGCCTTCTGACCATCAGAGAAGAGGTGACATCAAAGCGAGCAGGTGGCAGGGGCCTGTCTGCTACTCCGCCGCCTCGGCAGGGGCAGGTTCCTCTCCTGCAGTGGGTGCCCCGTCCTACCTCTAAGAACCAGAGCCTCCTGGTCCCTGGCACAGGTGAAAGGCTGCCCCTCCCCAGATCCTGTCCTCATGCCCAGACCCCCAAGCTCCACCTGTTCCGGAAGCAGCTGGGGGCCAGGAGAGGATACGTGGTCCCTGCACCCCCGTCTCCCTGGGATATGCTGGAAGGGGAAGAAGGGACTGACTCCAGAAAGGACCGCCAAAGATGCCAGCAACAGACAGACTCTCAGAGCTTCCTAGTTGGTTTTGTGTGGTGGCAAAGGCGGGAAAGGGTCGATGGTGAACTCCGGAGCAGGCTGCCGTGCAGAAACCCACCCCACCCCCTTCATCTCTCCGGGAACTAGATCTAGAGGAAGTAGACTCAGCACTTTGAAAGGAGAGCGATTCCAGTTACAGGAAGCACCTCAGGAGGAGTTTACTAAGTCAGTAAAGTCAACCCTGGAACTGATGAATGAGGAAGAAAGCAAAACAAAATCTCCTTTCTAGAGAACTTATCAAATAGAGATTTCAAGCTGTATTTCAACAGTCAAATGTAGCGACGCCTTCTTCCCCAGAATCCCAATATCTAGACACACAGCCACGGGTCTGGTCACAAGGGGCACAGACTTCTGCCCTCGAGGCCTCCCTTGGACCACCGCCATCCCTGGCCTCTCCCTCCACCCGCCCCCACCCAAGGCCCCCCGCCCCTGCAGGGCCAAGACTCTAAAGAGCTCAGATTCAAAATCCTATTGTGAAACCTCTCCTCTGAGTCTGCTTTGTTCAAACAACCTGGAAAATAAAGGTATGTGTCCAACAGAGGGCCACTCCTTTGATTTGTATTTCTGCTTACGTGATTTGTGACACAGACTAGGCACTTCCAGCCCTGAACAGTCCGTGCCATCTTGGAGCACAGGCTGCCAGCCTGTAGACAGTCCCCGACCCGGCCCAGCACTCACCTCCTTCTCCCCACAGATGTTGCTAATGATGGAGCTGGAGGCGGGGCTGGAGGACGGTCCCAGGACAGCGACTACCCCCTTGGGGAGGATCTGACACACTGCGGCCAGCAGCAGGGGAAGAGCAGGGACGCAGGAAAAGAAACAAGGTGCCCGTCAGGGGGGTGTGGCCCAGCTGCCCTGCCTGGGCCCTGCTCTCTGAGACCTCCAGCCTCACCCGCCGCCCCTCCACCTCCCCCAACCACTGCCCATTCTCCCTACCACATACACTTCCCAACCCAGTGCCTTTCTCCCCTGGACTGCTGGGCTCCAGGCCAGTTTTATTGGAGTTCATGGATGGTATCGAATGAGGTAATGCCCCAGGCTGTGATGACATACGGCCACAAAGAGCAGGGTGTATAAATCGCTGCGGCCGCCACCAAAGGGCACAGGAACCCTGCAGACCCCCTCCCGCCTGCCTGCAGAGGGCCGCTGTTCCGCTCTCTTTCTGCTCTTGTTAGATTCAAACCCCTCAAGGGCAGGAGCTGAGCCACACTCTCTCCCGGTCCCCATCCCACGCCTGGTGTCCATCGCCACATTTTCTGGCCCTAGTAGGTGCCCAGTTTATATTCATGGAGTGAGTGGACAGACAGATGGGTGGATGGGACAGGCAGTCAGAAAAAGAAGAGAGTCTAAGAGTCTATTGAGGATAAAATGCTATAGACTGAGAAGGAAGATGGGAGATAAAGGAGGAAATACAAGGAGAGAAAACATGAGCTCATGCTCAGGACACACACGGTGACATCAGAACCAAGGAGCCACCCCTCAGAATGTGCCCTGAGGTTCCTTGTAAGACATCCTTCTCCTTTACACTCAAAAATCTCGATCGTGAGCACATTTTCCTCTGACTCACATGGAAATCAGGAAGAGCCATTTCCCAAGCCAGAAAACTGAGATGAAGGGACAGTCCAGGGTCGTTTCTGTTGAGTCAGTGACAAAGCCACCCCTGGTTGAGTCCTAACCATGGGCCACACAAATAAGTGATGGCCTTAAATGGGTGCAGGTGGTAAGGTGGAGCACAGGGTTCAAATCCCACCTGAAGGATAGATCTGCACGGTCTTCTCTCAGCCTGTGCCGAGCTGGGGCCCTGCAATATCGCAGACGTCAGCTGACCACAGGCTGCGGACAGTGGTGCCTGAGGGAGGGAGGCCCATCAGTGCTAAGTGTCAGAGCCATCCCCACTGGCGTGACCTTTGAAGAATGTACTTCAAAGTTCAAGCTATTTCCATGTAAGCTATCTCATGTGATCTCAGAAAACATCACCCTGATGCCCGCTGGGTGCCCTAAGCTCATCAGCCACCAAGGCCCTGCAGCAGCCTCCGGGGTGGTCTCAGTTCCTAGAGACATTCAGTGATTCCCCTAAAGCCACACACCCAATCAAGCTCAGGGCCAGTGTTGGAGTTTAACTCTGCGGACCCTGCCCAGGGTTCATTCTACTCTCTCACAGCCACTTCCTTTGTCTGCCCATCTCTTCACAGCCCTGCAGAGTGAGGCCCCTGCCCCACCTCGTCCTACGGCATCTGCTCTTCGAAGGTCACCCAGGGCCCTCATCTCAGCCCTCATCCTGCTCTCCTGTTGCAGGCTGACGTGCTGGACGTGGCTGACTGCATTCTCCTCTACACGTTTATAACTCCTTCCAGTCCTTATTTTCATCCACTCCTCTCATCACTTTTTACTTTCTCTGCCAGCACCTGTTCCTTCTGCCACCCATTAAATTCAGATTTTATCCATGTCTCACTCTCCCTGAGCAATCTCACCCTTGCCTGTGGCTTCCACTCTCACCTCTGCCCAGGTGATCCTACACTCTGACCTATGTTCCGGGTTACAAAATCAAGTTCCAGTCCCCTGCTGATGGCACCAGAGGAATGTCACTCACTCACTATGTCCACAGCAGAGAGGCAGAAACATAGTCACTCAGAGCATGAACTCTGAGGCAAGACTGTCCAGGTTTGACTCTTGGCTTTGTCACCTACTAGCAGGGAGACTTTGAGCAAGTTCTCTCTGAGCCCGCTTTCTTATGTCTCAAACTGAAACACTAGCAGCACCTCTCTTGCAGGCTTCTTGTGAAAATTACAATGAGTTAGTACCTGCCAAGTACTTAAAATGGTACTGATATGGCACATACCTCTTTATATTGTGCCCACTATATCATATTTGCTATATACTGTACTTTCCATACATGATCTGATTTGACCTTCATACTTTTAGGAAGAAGATTCATTGTGATCCCCACTTTACAGGTGGGGGAACTGAGGCTTACAGTTTCAGTAACTTGTTCCACATCACATAGGCAATATGTAGAGATGGGCTTGAACTTAGAGACCCACCTGGCACCATAGCCCAAATGCTTAACCACTGCGCTTCTTCCCCTCAGCTCCACGAATTCAAAGCTACAATCACCCTTGACTCTGCCTGACCTTCGCTCACTGAGTCTATTCACTTGTTATACCAACCAGGGGCCAGGTCTCGGCCATTTGACTTTCATGCCCGGCCATCCCCTCCTTCCCACTCCCCCTGTCACTGTTACAGGTCAGCCCCAGTTGCTACCTGCCTCCCCACGGTGTCTCTGTCTCCAGGATTCTTCATTTGCAATCTGTTCTCCAAAGTGCGAGGGACAGGATAAGCCTAAGACATTGATCTGTGCGCTCCTGCTGGCAGAAAACTTGCCATGTTTGTGTCTGCGCCCTCCATACCTAGAGCAGGCCTCGCTCAGAGTTGTGCGCTCAGTCAATAGCCGCTGACCCACCCGGAAGCCTGGCCAACACCTTCTGTGGGAAACTGGAAATAAACTAACTGTCTAGTCATAGCGATCATTATCTAAAGCTTAGGTCACATACACAGATGGAGTATTATTTATGCATTTACAATGCTTGCACACAGTTTATAATAGTACTTAGATTATTTCTGTAATAAAATTAAGAGAATGAAGAAAAGTAGAAAATTATATGTATCTGTAAATGAAGGCTACAGCTAAGCAAATACAGAAAATAGTTATGCACCAAGAAATGCCTGGAAGGAGGTGTCACCGAAGCCCCCATTCGCTGACTGCTGGTTCTGGCCCATTCCAAGCACTTGATACGAACTGACTTATTTCTCACAACAACCTGATGAGTTGGTTCTATTACTGTCACCTTCATTTCACAAATGAGAAAATGGGGCAGAAAAATGCGAGAGCGGAGGCCGGATTCAAACACTCAGCCACTGACTTCGGGGCCAGGCCCTGACCGCCGCGCCAGCGGCCCCTGCTGGGCAGTGGCGAATCACTGGGACGTCGGCAGAGACGGCCTCGGCCGCGGGGATGCAGCGACGCTCTTCCCTATTTTTCTTTACTTTCTATAACAAGCATGCATTCCTTTTATAACATGCCATTATAAAAATTTAAATGTTATAAAATCTTTTTATGAGGAGTAAGTAAAATCTAAATGGGCCTGACCTCCTCAAGACCCTACCCTTCACACCCTTTCTCCCACAGCGCCTCCTGCCTTCCCAGAGCCTCCTAGACCTCGTGCCCCGTTTTCCTACCTGGGCCTGTTGCCAAGCATTTCTTTCTGACTGGGTCAGGGCTTGTTGACCTGCTGTCTGAGATCCGGGAGTAAAATACAGTGGACTGGGAACATTTGGCAGGGGTAAACAATAACATTATTTTCTATAACTCCTGACTGAAATTTAGCATTCCCTTCAATGTTGAATTTAGAGAAAGCTCATGTGTTTTTGTCACCGACAGACGTCACAGTGCTTTCATATCACTATACAATGTTGTAGATATGTTGAAATATAATGTATATTCAAAATTAATTCAAAATTGTACTAGTGGTCAGACCTGATACTACATTTGGATATTTAATATATTAATAAAAAAGCACATATTTTAATATCTCACTATTAATATATTTTAACTCTTTCCATATACTTCATTTTGTTGACCATCCCATCTATTTCATTTTCTCCATTTAAAAACACTTTTCTGAGAAGTCCATTGGCGCCCCTAACCACCGTGGCCTCGGCCCATGCTTGCCTTCGGGCCTGGCCCGCCCCCCTCGCCCTGGAGCCCCGCGCCGGCCTCGCCCCTGGCAGGGCCTCTGCACGCCTGCGCGCCTCGCAGCGCCCTCTGCGTCAGCGTCCCTCTATTCTGAATTCCTGGCCAGCTCCTGCCCGAAGCTCGCTCAGCACGTTGGGTCTAAATAGAGAGTTTTCTCCTAAAAATAAATTCTTATAGAAAGTCACAATCCCTTATTCCAAACAACAAAATCCAAAAGGCTTTGAGACTGAATGACTTTCAAACTCATTTGGTAGCAAAATCTGATCTAGAAAGACAGATGTGAAGGTGTTTATCATATGTGGCTATTCGAATACAGGCATGCATTTGTTTGAGTATAGGATTCTGCGCCAAGCCCCATGACCTCTCTAGTATATAGAAACTCCTGGATTCGAAAACGTCTGGCCTCAAGGATTTGGTGGACCTGTGCCTGCCATTCCGAGTGTCCCTCTCCCTTGCCCCGCACTGGATCGGACATCCTCGAGGGCAGGGGTCACATCTGTTCTGTCCTGGCAAACACACTACTCAGTAGATACTTGCTCGGCTGAATCGAAATGACCCAGAATGAGCCCAGTGAAGCTGAATTATCATCTTCCCAGCAGCCATTGCCTAGGAGTGTGCTGGGGTCTGGGAGCTGCTCTTTCAGTCCCTGTGAAGGGCGCCCTCAGGCCCTAGAAGTGGGACCTGCGTGACAAAGCCCCTGGGGTGGAGCCTGCAGGCCCTGGCCCTCTGCCCTGCAGGCCCTGAGCAGCTTGGGTGCGGGAGGGGAGGCAGGCAGGTGCGCCTTCCCCTCTGCCTCCAGGGAGCGGGGAGGAAACTGGGAAACGCAGCCATGAGGGTAGGACTGCAGAGCTTCACGGCCCGCGGAGGGAGAGGGAGACGCTCTCAGAGCAGCTGCTGAGGGAAGGACCATGGCACGGTGTTGTGACAAGAGGGAGTTCTTCCGTTCAAGCTGTCACCTGGCATGGGTTCCAAGTACCCTCAGACACCTGGATGGACAGGAGGCATTCATGGAAATTTGCTGGT